TCTTTCCCTGTGCTCTTTAACATATTGTTAATATTTTATTTATATAATTCATTGTATGACTCCTGTAGGACTTGAAGACTGGAGGAATAAATTACATTTTAAAATACACTATATTGCCAAAAGTATTGGGACACCCCCTTCTAATGAACAGGCTTGACTACTTTAGTAATTTCCACGAGTACAACTCTTAATGTTTAAGCATATAATGATATTATAGGGAATTGTGTGCTTCTAATTTTATAGCAACAGTTTGGACAGGACCCTTTTCTATTCTAACATGACAATGCCTCTGTGTATTAGGCAAGGTTCAAAAATAAATGATTGATTTCAGCCAATGATAAAGAATGATAAAGCCAAGTCCTAATCCCAGCTGAACACCTCTGGTGTGACTTTAAATGCTGACCTTGAACCAAAAACTCATCACCAAACACCAATGACTTGTACATAAACTATATGGACAAAAGTATTGGGACACCCCCTTCTTTAGAACAGAAAAAGGCACTTCCAAAACTGTGGCAACGTAAGATGGAAAACATAATTCATGTATTTAAAATTTGTATTTCCATCTCTGTTGCAACAGTTTTGGAAGTGTCTAAAATGACTGTACCCATATGTACAAGCCATTGGTGTTTAGTGATGAGTTTTTGGCTCAACTTCTGCATATAAAGTCACACCAGAGATGCTCAGCTGGGATTAGGATTTGGCTTTCTGCAGACCAGTCAAGTTCTTCCACACTGACTTAATCAATCATTTCTTTTTGAACCTTGCCTAATACACAGAGGCATTGTCATGTTAGAATAGAAAAGGGTCCTGTCCAAACTCTTGCTATAAAATTAAAAGCACACAATTACCTAGAATATCATTATGCTTAAACATTAAGATTTGTACTCGTGGAAATTACCAAAGTAGTCAACCCTGTTCATTAGAAGGGGGTGTCCCAATACTTTTGGCAATATAGTGTATTTTAAAATGTAATTTATTCCTCCAGTCTTCAAGTCCTACAGGAGTCATACAATGAATTATATAAATAAAATATTAACAATATGTTAAAGAGCACAGGGAAAGAGAAGGGACTCTTCAGCTCCGAGGTGTTGTGATGGCTTTCTTAAAGTTGACAGCAGCTTTGATGCGGTTTTGACTTACTCCTCCTCTTTTAGATGCTCCACCCCTTTTGTCCCTCTCCTTTGAAGGATTTGACAGTTTTCTCAGAATCTCTAAATTTAGAAGAAAAACGGATTAGATTAAATAGAGAACCTACTATGTAATATCCATAACAAAAATCGTATATTTCTGCTAGTGAACATGTCAGATTCATTTTTTTTTTTTTTTGATTTGTGGGAAATTCCTTTTAAAGAACAATACGATGAAAAGAAGTAGCAAGGAGTGTTTTTCTTGATATCAAATTCTTCCTTTTTAATAAATTATAGATGAACAAATGAGAAATAGAAGCATTGCCTGCTAGCTCAGGGTAACTTGTCCCAAAGTCAAACACTGCAGTATACTTTGGACCTTCACTGCCTTCACCTCCTGCACAAGGGAACATACAAAGCTGTTTTTACTGATTTTCCATAGTTGTTGTGGTATCTGATGTACTTGAAGTAGGTGAGGGCAAACTCACGTGATACATGTAATGGAATATAGCTCTCTCTCTCCTTCAGCAAACTGCTGACGAGGTCAGTGCTCTGTGCTCTCTCTGCCAAGTTCACCAGCTCTCCCATCCTGTCCATCAAGTCCACAGTCTCTACAGAGAACAGTTCTTTTTTTAGATCACCTACACTGAGTCTGTTCAGCTTCAAATTAACAGCTAGTAGCTTAGCAAGTGTGTTTCTGATTTTTAGTGTTGCTTGGAGTTGAACAATCCCCAGACCCTAAGAATGAAACTTCACGGTGTTTTTTAAAAACCACTGGGAGCACCTTATAAACTACATAGCAACGCCACAGCAAGCATCTACAAACCCCTACACTCTTAAAAATAAAAGTGCTTCACGATGCCATAGAATAACCTTTTTGTCTAAATGGTTCCATAAAGAACCTTTAACATCTGAAGAGCATTTGTGGCGAAAGTAGGTTTTTTTTTTTTTTTTAAAAGGTAAGAAAGAGATGGTTCTTTAAAGACTCAATGGTTCTTTGTGGAACCAAAATGGTTCTTATATGGCATCGCTGTGAAGAACTATTTAAGCGCCTTTATTTTTAAGAGTGTAATGTTTTGCACAGGCAGAGACAACGTACTTATACTTCAAAAATTTAAGAATATAATTTAACCATTGAAATTAATGTTACATTAAACTTTTAAGTAACTCAATTCAATTCATCTTCAATATTAACCCATATTTGACCTGAGCTGAAGCATACTTTAAGTTACCTTGGGGATCCAGATTGCATTTTTCTTTTATGCAGTGGATGAAGTTTATAACCTTGCAATTTATGTTCAATATCTCCTCTCTTCCCTCTGTAAGAAATATATTTGAAAACATTCCAGTTATAAAATAAAGGAACTTTGCTATAAAAAATATAATGTTAAAGTGGTCATATGATGTTGCTAAAAAGAACATTATTTTGTGTATTTGGTGTAGTGTAATGTGTTTATGTGGTTTAAGGTAAAAAAACACATTATTTTCCACATACTGTACATTAGTGTTTCTCCTCTATGCCCCGCCTTTCTGAAACGCGTCGATTTTTACAAAGCTCATCGGTCTGAAAAGCGAGGTGTGCTCTGATTGGCCAACTATCCAGTGCGTTGTGATTGGCTGAATACCTCAAGCGTGTGACGGAAATGTTACGCCCCTTACCATATTGTGATGTCGTCTCCAGGCTGGAGCGACGAGAAAAAAACATTAAAACCCATTATAAACAAGGCACGTTTAAATCATCAGTGGCAAATTATTTAAATATGAAAACTTACTTACAGTCTGAGTCAGAACAGCCGGCATTTTAGTCTACTCAGCCAGGAAACATGCAGAAACGCTGTACTCATCTGAATATTTTGGGTTGAACTGTTCTGGAACAGTGTTGTAAATACAACTTAACCACTGATTTCTAGTCGTGTCCTCTGGCCGCGGCAACAACAATATTACAGCGAAAATAAAAGTTACGCCTTCTTTCTTTGCGTGAGCATTTGGGCGGCGTTATGCAAATCTTCCCACATAGTGAGATAGATATGTGGGGGCGTGTTAGAACGAGCCGTTTTAGGTAGGCGTGGTTGACTCTTAACTTTTATAAAGAATATCTCTTTGGATTTGAGACTTTAGTCTTTGCAACTTTACAGATCTTCTTTATGCACCAAGAGCTTGTAACACTCCAAAGAGAAAGGAAAAATTGAAATCACATCATATGACCCCTTTAATGTATACACTACTGTTCAAAAAGGGTACGATTCATTTTTTTAAAAGAAAGAAAAAGAAAGAAAGAAATTAAAAACTGTTATTCAGCAAGGAAGCATTAAATTGGTCAAAAGTGACAGTAAAGACATTTGTTACAAAAGATTTCTGTTTCAAATAAATGCTTTGTATTCCTCAAAGGATCCTGAAGAAAATGCATCACAGTTTTCATAAAAAATATTAAGCAGCACAACTGTTTTCAACATTAATAATAATAAGAAATATTCTTAAGCAGCAAATCAGCATATTATAATTATTTCTGATGAATCATGTGAAACCAAAGACTGGAACAATGATGCTGAAAATTCAGCTTTGCCATCACAGGAATCAATTTTAAAATATCTTAAAAAAGGAAAGCATTATTTTAAAAAATTGTAATGCTATTTCACAATATTACTGTTAAATGCAGCCTTGGTGAGCATAAGAAACTTCCCTCAAAAGCACTCAAAATTGTACAGTTTGTATGTTTGTGTATGTATGTAATATGAATATATATAAATGATCCTGCACTTACCACCAGATATCACAGTAATGAACATCTCAGTCTTAAGATGTGTTTACTGTCTCAGCAGCCTGCAGTAACGAACGTGTCTGTTCACACAGTACGAAAATAAAAGGTAATTAAATGTTGTTGACGACAGCCATACCTAGAGACAAAGCCCCGGTTTATGAGGATTGCTGTGAAGTTCTACAGGACTGAATGTAATTGGCAGACTAGACTCAGTGTAATCAGAATATTATCCTGCTGTGCCACCACTGAACTATGGATGAACTCCCCTCCTGGACTAGAATTTGCATTACATAAACAGCAGCATATTACCAGGCTACATTTTTCACTCACTACTCACTGTTTTTTTTCTCTCTCTCTCTCTGTAACCCCTTTGAAAAGAGAAGAGAGAAAGAACTCTTTTTTTATGAAGCAGACCAGTCTGATTTGTCTCCATGGAGTTAGTACACAGACAGACAGGTTCTTCGATACTTTGAAGTACTTATCCGGGACATGTCTAGCTGAGTGGGGAACAGATCTATAGTCTTTTTCCCATGACTTTAAACGCAACAGTAAGAGAACAACACAAGTCCGTCCCAGTTGTGGCTATTTCAGTACTAACTTGGGAAAAAAGCTGTGCCATAAGAAATTAGTCTTGAATGACTAAGAGGTTAGCAAACTTCATTCATTTAAATGTCTGATGAAGTTTTGTCCCTGTACTTTAAACCACATGAATCGTGGTTTGAGTACAAGCTCATTTTGGAAGTGAATTATAAAGATAATGTAATATGTAGGCCTATAACAAAAATTACATTTTATAATGTAATAACAAATAACAACATTTTTCTATTTCATAAATGCTGTTAGTTTGAACTTTCCATTCATTAAAAAATCCAAACAAATGTATCATGTTTCTACAAAAATATTAGGCTGCGCAAAAATGATAATCAGAAATATTTCTTAAGCAGCAAATCAGACTATGAGATTGATTTCTGAAAGATCATGTGACACTGAAGACTGGAGTAATGGCTGCTGAAAATTCAGCTCTGCCATCACAAGAATAAAGCACATTTTAAAATATATTCAAATAGAAAACTGTTATTTAAAACTGTAATTATATTTCACAATATTTCCATTTAAATGTATTTTGATCAACAAAAAAAAAATCTTTACCTCAAACTTTTGAACAGTATTGTAAATGCATTATAAAAACACCCAATTGTATCGTAAAATATATTACTTTACATGTTTTTTTCCCACCACACTTTTAAAATTAATTAAAATATATTTTTAGTCATCTTGAGGCCCCTTTAATTGGGAGCTGAGGAGCCCTAGTGGGCCCCAGGCCCTCTGGTTGAGAACCGCTGTTTTATAGCACCATTGCTGATACACAATCCTGTAAATCTTGCCAGAATAACAGCCGATGAGACACAGACAGCAACTCCATGACAACACAGGCTTGAGCAGTCATAACCTCAAATGTTAAAAAAAAATGTTATCAGTGTGTAAACATCATCAGCTTCATCAACAGGTCTTTTCCACAAATTTAGATGTGACATGAAGCCCTCTATGACCTTTATGTCAAATATTAGACCAATCAGCATGTTTGCTTAGTTCAATAAAATCTAGATGTGTGCCAAGGGTTACCATGTTTTATTAATATAGGGGAAACTGGAGGCAATTCTTTTACATTTTCCTTCATACCTCACAGACTACTTGATATACACTTGTCATCTTTTGACATAAGAAACAAATATATAGGTGCACTAATTAATAATACAATTTAAATATATTTCAAAGGACAAGACTATAATATAAAATTAAATGAAAGAAGTCAGTTGCCCCCTTTGTGTGGGCGATTGTAACAGTGTCTGGAGGCAATTGTAACACTGAAAAATAAGTCATATTAACCCACTGTATCTCAAATAAAGGCATACTTCAAAGTAATCACGTTACTGCTGTAATATCCAATAATGTTGCTTAAGATTTTTTTTGTAGATGTCAGGCATCATATGCATTCAAAAAGCAAAAGTCTATTTCTATTTTTGCAGAAGACAACTATTCTAGAGGTAACTAGATTTAATTTTTTTAAATATAATATTTAATATATTATTTAAATATATTTTATTCAAATACATAATCAACTGATGAGTCAAGAGCAGTCTTTAAGCAAACTTTAATGAAATGTACAGAATATTAACATTAACAGAATAAAAGACCTAGGTCTATATTAACATAGGTTGTTCATGTTAGCATACTTTTTTTTATCAATAACCTAAAGATAAAATGTAAGTTTAAATTTGCAGTCATCTGAACTTTAGACAGCAGACGAAAAATACTGCACATACAAAAAGTAACGTTCATACCTCAAAATAAATGTTTCGTTAAAAAAAAAAAATCTCCTGAGGTGAAATGATTATTACGCTTGTTCGAGATGAATGACATAAAAGTACCGATTGGAGAACAGACGACTCTTGTGCTTTTGAATTGCTCTCGCGGTACTTTGATGTCATACGCCGATGCGGTCTGCGCAGCGCCAAAGCATCCGGAGCAAGCTTGTTGTGTTCCCTTTTCACAGGCAGATCGAGAATCCTGCTGAGCCAAAGTCCCTTTAAGGTATTCTATAGTCTTTATTTGACTGAGCCTGAGCATGTTGTAGTGTCATCATCACTCTAGCTTGTTTCTGATTGGAGGAATTGAATGTTACAGCTGGCCCCTGATACAATTGAGATAGAGGGTCCGGGAAAGGTCAGTGAGCTGGAACTCGAACTCGGGACGCCCGAAGCACAACGACAGTACCTATATGTCGGTGCAGACACAAATTGCTATTGTCGGTAAGATGATCCAAAAGCTCCGCTGGCACTGGCAGACACGGAGACCAGCCCAGGAGTCATAATCAGAGTTCATTAGGAAGATGGGTGTGAATACTGCATTTTTAGACGAGGAACACGGGTTCATTTAACATCATTTTGTGTCAACACACAATGAGCTTTTGTTTGAAATAACTCGAGCTGGATTACTGTAAATGTTTGTGTGTAAAAAAATTTGTGAAAAATCCGTTAGCTCAGGCGCTTTTCAGCAGTTTTTGATGTAGGCCTAGTCTGTCTACATACGATTCAATCTGAATCAGGTGTGTTTAAAGTAGGAAGATCTCTGTATCCAGATTTGTATATCTGTATATCATATGTGGAGCTCGATTCAGAAAAAGATAATGCTACCCTAAAATAGACTACTCTAGAAATCTCGAGATGCACTAGTGCACCCTTTAACCTGGAATCTTTTGGGACTTTGGGAACGGGCTGGGAAAGATAAGTTAGAATTCATAAGACCCTTCAGCGTGTGATCGAGCACAGCGGCCCAAGAGAAGGACTCTCCCGGGATGACCACTTCATGTCTCCATATCTGGAGACTCCTTCTTTGGAAGGAAAATCGCAAATCATTTTAAAGCCTGCACTTGAGCTATATCACACTTAGGCCAAGTTGTTTACTGATAGTTTTTATATTAAATATTAAAGCAATATTATGAGCAATAGTATTTAATATATACAGCCGTTCAGTAAACATTAAGTTTTGAGTAGCTTACAGAATATTGCCCGTCTCTTATTTGACAACAGCCCTTCGTGTGCAGCTGAGTAATGGCAATTTATTGATGTAGTAGGAGAAAATGTGTCCACGTTGCTATTTCTGTGGCCCAGTACTGATGATCTGATCTCATACAGATGTACGCTATGACGAGGCAGAGAGAAGTGGCACAAAACTCAAGCAATGGGTTGACGTGAAATCGCGTTTCATGAATTGTGCCAGAGCATTGTTGCAAAAGAGTGATGTTTAATTTAGATCATCTTTCCACAAATAAAATAAGGCAGCAAAAATCATTTTAGTTTAAACAAATGGTCAGTGAAATGAGGTGCTTAACCTTCAGGAAATGTTGACTGTCTCGTGCAATTTTCTGTTAATTTTATGAGATTTGCAAATTTTGCAACCCTTTTACCAACTTTATGTCTAAACACAGTTATTATGAAAAGTTGCAGTCAATAAGGCCAAAATAACTATTTTAAGTGAACAGGCATTCAGTGTGTTTACAATTAGCTACTTTTATGCTAGGCTAAATTTATATGAGATATATAACTTATCTAATAGTAACAAAAAGCATGGGATGTGTGCCCTCAATACAATAAAAACCTAAATAATGGGACTCAAATGCAACCTATTTGTGGAAAGTGCCTCATAGAAAACCACATAGTCAAAGAGTAACACTGCTTAAAACTTTTCACAGAGCCTACAAAATATGCAGCCAAAATACACGGCATGAGTTGCATTGCTGCATGCATATGCTAGCTTTATGAAATCTTGCTGACTAACTTTCATTAACATGCTCGCCCAGTTTCCAGATAGAAATCAACTAACAAATCAGTTGTCTGTGGGTATTTGTGCATGTAGAAGTTTGGGTTTATGTTTGTGTTGCAGTGCAGATGCTGAGTGAGTGAAGAAAATGATCAGCAAGTGCTCCCAGTCTCAGTGCAAACCATTAAGAACTGTATTGAAAATGCTTTTTAAATTACTGAATTTGAATTAAAGAAGCACACAGGATGTAGAATTGTAATTCAAATTCGGATTTATGAAAGTAGAATTAAAATGGAAGTGCAGTGCAGACATTAGTAACATCTTACACACACTGCTCTAAATTTAATCAATAATGTTTACCTTATGGACCATGGTGGAAGAACATTTGTTAACTCCAACCTATTATATAAATATACCATATAATCAACAGATTCAAATGTTTCAATATTTTTTTTTATAATGATTATCTTGCAAAATGTTATGGAAATTTTGTGGGTCTGTATGACAAATATAAAATAGTTTTTAATTAGTTAAAAATCTGTGTTAATTGTTGAGGGTATTGCATTTAATTAAGAGAAATATCTCTAAACAGTTTTACTGTTCTAATTTTGGGAATACTCAGATTAGTTAATCAATTAATTTATTTTGTACTGAAAAAAAAAATCCAATTCAACATCCTGTAACCAATTCCAACTCATGAACTGAAAA